TCTTCTTCATTATTGTTTATTGACCAAGAAACTTTATCTACTTCACCGGATTCTTTTTTTCTTTGAGCATTTTTTTTAAGCAAATCAACTGTTTAATATGGACCCTCCATCAATGTTGGCAAATTCAAATCACGTCTGCAGGTCACCATTGAAGAGCTATAATTATCGACTATGTCAACCTTCATCTATGAAAAGGTACCTCGAGATGGATTCAAGTTAACATGCCTAATATACTAGGGAATTGGTATTTAATATTTATAGTGGTAGTTACGCAACTCAAGTCCAAGTTATTAGACACACTGTAGTGTTTTAATAATTGCGTGTTTTGCACGAGTTAATATGCAATACTTCTATTTTTAAACATACATGTAATGAGTTTTTATTCGGGGGATTTTTTATATACTTCATATTTGCATTTATTTTTAACGCATTGTTTTACAATATTAACCAATTGATACACGAACATAAACAAGTGTAAACCACTTGCAGTGGCGTAAAAACAATAAAGCTGTATAGTATCACCTGATAATTAAGATTTGACATGTTGTTGTTGCTAATCTCGGAATCGACTCCCATGAGCACCAATGACATTCAGGATAAGTTTTTCGTCCCCGTTTGAAAGTAAGGGATCTAGTGTGGCCACTCACGAAGCGTGAAAAAGCAGTTTGATGGGCTCTCGGTCTAAGATTGAAAGATTCTCCCGGTTTTTTGCAAAATACTAAGAGTGATTGGGAGGAGTTTTTATAGTCTTGTTTAATTTCATTTTTGCCAGGGAAGAAATTTCACTAAAGGTAAGCTTCCCACAATGATCAGTGTCTTCTTCGGCAGCGTATTTGGCCAGGAAGTCAGCCCTTTCATTCCCATCAACCCCAACATGTAAGGGAATCCACTGAAAGTGGTGTATAGAATGGTTGGCCTGTCAATTAGAAGATTTTACATAGAACCTTATAGTGCGTATAATAATTTGGCCTGGGACTGTGCTTTATAAATTATCATGTCTTTTTATTTAAATCGCTTGAAATTTACTTTTGAAAGCATGTTTTGTAGACAAAGAAGCATAAAATGTATTTTTTATCTTACCTTATACACATTTTTTTCATTTAAAAATAAATAACGTAATATAATATAAAATAAAAATATAATTAAATAAGAAAATATTAAATAAAAAATATTAAGTAAATTATAATAGTACTTGTAATAAAATTTAGCATTTTGTCACGATACATTTTTAGGCTACAAAAAATAGTTCTCAAGATTTTCTATTTTAACCTTTTAAAAATTGTTTTTCTCAATACTTCTGAAGATTTCAGCAGCCCAAAAAAGATATTAGTGACATAGAAATAAATTAAATAAAAATGAACTCTTTCAAATCATTTGAGAACTCATTCTACTATTTGAAAAAAACTATAATTGTCAAGATTTTACTGGGTGGGCAAATAAATTCCCATCGGTTTTTTTAGTATTTTATTTTGTCAATCTGCTTGTCATTAAATTTTTTGAGCATTAAGTTCCGAAAAATTCAATAGAGGATATTCTAACGGTTCATAGTGCAGTTCATTTTTAGATCATTAAAATAGAATATCAAGTTGAGAAAAATGAACCTTTTTTCCTTTTGACACCTTTGAGTTATTATTGCTTTTGATAAAGTAAGGTAAAAATCCTCAAAAGCTGCTTTTTGGAATCGCAATGACTGATACCAGTGGTTGGAAGTAACAAAACTACTGTAGTCGCACTTTTTTTCATAGTTTCTAGAGTACTTTTTTAAAAAAAGTAGTGTAGCGCGATACAAAAAAAAGTAGTGATACCTGGCAACTACGTACTTATAGTGTGTTAAGAGGAATTACGTATTTAAAATCACTTAAAACTCAAGCTAGCAATTATAAATAATCGATGATGTATCACTTTACTCGTACTTTCACGTGAGAATAAATATTGAAACATGAATGTTATTTCAAAGGAAGAAACATTTTCAATGTACTTAATTTCTTAGAGGAAATAACAAAGCATTAAACACTTAGCAATATTGTGAGTATTTGATAATTTCCTAGCATTTCTAAAATTCGCTTCCAGAAGAGCATAAGAAATGAACAAATTCGAAAAAAAAGTCTTAGAATAACAAACTGGCTCATGTAAACATGAATAAATATCTCTGAATAATGTTTAATAGAAGCCAATTTTTTTGTTTAAAACCTTTTTGAACATAATATGTAAATTAATTTCTCCAGCAGTGTAAATTATACAGGTGTATATTAATTTATCCAGGAAAGTCCAGTTCCTTAAAGTAGTGATTCACATTTCGAAAGTAGTTTGTAGTCACTATATTTATATAAAAAAATTAGTTGTAGATAACTACATTTAAAACAAAGTAATTGTAGTTGTAGAAAGCTAGAAAAATAAGGCAGTTTTTCTGACCACTGCCTGGCACCATTTACTGGCCTTCTCGAGTCACCTCTGCTTTTGATATAACATATATTTGGTGCATCATTTTGGTTATATATAAATATATATATATATACTAATTGATTAGAACTTGATATGTAACTAATGCAGCATTTAGAAAATTAATCTAATTTTTTATTTGTATGGTTATTAAAAAAGTACAGATACTTCTGAAGACCTAAAAGGATAACTCCCTCCTAAAAATAAAGATTTTTAGAGCATAAAGGATTACTTAGCATAATGTACTGTACCGGAAAATTACTTTGCTCTGACTTCTGAGGGATATTTCGTTTAGCGTGACAAATTTTATAAATATCAAGCACAATTACACAAATTCCTTGCAAATTTTCTCCGAGAAGATACGCTATTGGTTTTGCAATTGCCTTTGCAGGTGCATAGCAACGTTTTAGACCTCATTATTTTTTATTTGTCCAGATAATTAGCAATCGCATTTTTTTTGCTGATTTTTTTAATTTTAGATGACGTTTCTAAAATTTTTGAAAATTTCAAGCTGAAGATTTATTTGTGACTATTTTTAAATGAAAAATTGATTTTAAGTATTATAATGCCATGATGATACTTAAGGTATAATGATTTTTTTTAAATAAATGCTANTATATATATATATATATATATATATATGTATGTATGTATGCTTTTGGCATATTATTTCCTTTGAGTCTATCAAAAATCGGCTACCATTATTTGATGAGAGGCTCGTCAAAACGCAACCTTTCATTCAAATTTCATATTTACCAGGAAAATAAAATATTGGTGGTATTTATATTTCAGGAAAATTCTAGAGTGTGTTCAATAAATGTGATCCTGTCTGGAGAATGTGTGCTAAAAGAAATTCTAACTTTTTTTCTGGAAAAATTGACGGGCTTGATTTTAAAAAACTGGGAGTTGACACTCCCCGTAGTAACGACTCTGATTAGCTAATTAAGAGAACTTATACAAGGTTTTGACCCATTGAGAAATGCACTTGTTTTTACTGTTCCATGGTTTATTTTAAAGAAGTGCTGTACAGTGCGCGAAAAATAAATAAATAAGCAAACCACACTTAATAACTTTTGATCTAGTGATCGGATCTTTCCGTTCTAGGTCTAAATTTTATTGGTTCGAGTGGTATTGGTATTAGAGTGACCTCAAATATGCCAATTGATTCGTGCAGACGATATTTTATATTTCAAAATCGGATACAAAACGAACTTTTCTGAAAAAACATACCTTTTTTTCGACGGATTCGGATTTTTGATCATAAAAATGTAGGGGGTGGCAGAAATCTGGGAAATATGGCCCCAATAGTTAGGTCAGGAGAGCAGTCTAAAGTTTGGGCCCCTTAATATTAATTTTCTTTTGTTTTGAGTATTTCTCCATCACTCGAGAACTTGAGCAAATTGAAAATTTTTTGAGCACAATTGTTATTAAATCTGTCGAAAAAAATGTATGTTTATTCAGAGAAAATACTTTTTTGTGCCTGAATTTGTAACTTCAAATATCGTCTGCACTTATTAATTAGAAAGTTTGAAGTCAGCTCCTCGAATCATTAGACGAGTCCTAGAGCGTAAAGATCCGACCATTAGATCAAAAGTTATTCATGGTGGACCTTTTATTTATTTTTTTGAGCACTGTACATAATTGCTTATCTTTTTTTCAGAAATTCAATTCGATGCTTCTTTTATTAACATTTCTGGACACTTTTGATGATTTCAAAAGTTAAATCACATCGCTTTAAATATTGTGTTAATAAATTATATCAGCAGGATATCTTGGTTTTTAAATATTAAGACGAACTTATGAGCAGGCCATCGCACCTGCCTTATTTTGTACAAAAGTGATCAAATCAATATCGACAGTCAAATAAAAGAATCCTTTAAATTACTGTACTTTCTGTACTTGATTCAAACAGATTTACTTTTGATTAGCTCTTTAGTGCAACTTCTTGAGATCCTCGCTGTCCTAAATATTCAAAACAACCGCTATTAAAACAGAAAGCACAAGCCGACTTTAGACGGACCGAAAAATGTAGACAAAATTAGTATAGAAACTAATAAATACCAAGATTGTTTTGTGGCAATTTATTTGCTCGAAGTCTTCAAAAGTGTAGGGGAGAGTCGGGTAGCCCAGCCCACTTAACGAGCATTGCTTATATTTCTGTATAATATTGAGTAATAATCAATATTTTTGTATGTTTCTATTGTTTTATCATCTAATTAAATAATGCAAAAAGAATAAACCAAAAAAGAATAGTTTAACTTAAAAAAATAGATCATAAATCAACATAGATAATAAATCAACATATTTTCAAAACTATTGTTTACCATGTTACCAGCTGCATAAATCTTGAAACTTTGAAAATAATCTTTTTTTAATATAACAATTAATGTTCTATGGTCCATTGACTTGAAAAAATATTCTATACATATGAAACTGACAATGGGCGGGGGTACCCGACACTACCCTTCTGATTATAATTAAAAGCAGTTTGAAGGAAAACTTTTTTGTAACTGAAAATGTACTAACGCCTTGAAGTATAACTGAACTTAAGACTCTTGCAGTTCTGAATGTTGCAGTAGGAAAAGCACCAATGCAATCCAGTCTTTCTGGAAATGGAATACCTCAAAAAGCTATAGACGGCAGCACCAGCACATTTTTTAATGCAGACACCTGCAGTATGACTCAAACAGAGCGTTCGCCTTGGTGGTATGTCAACCTCTTAGAACCTTACATGGTTCAGCTAGTGAGATTAGATTTTGGAGCATCATGTTGCAGTAAGTACACAGTTAAAATTTTTATTCTAAAATTATGGTAAAATAACTGGCAGCTGTCTGTCAATCCGATTAACCGTGCAGTTTACGGAAAATAAAATTATTTCCCTTATTGTTTTGAAACCATTTACAAAAAGTATGGTTATGAGACCATGAATACAAAACTATACGGTTTTTTAACCATTTACAACTAGCATTTTTCGAAAACGTAATTTTTTTTAAAACTTAACTAGACATAGGAGCTCGGCTTTTCATAAGGTAATGGGCATTGGAGAGTGCCGGATATTGGAAACTCTTCACGTTTTGAAAATAATTGAGGAAATACTGTGGTGTTAACGCTGTGACTCGAACCCCACTTTTGCCGGTCTTGAGATTGACAGATAAGCCCGCTCGGCTATGATATGTAGACAGTTGCAAAGAACTAAGTAGCTTCCTTAGGTGGTTCTAGTTGGTGCGATAAAATTCTGGTTGTTTAACCGCATTAGGTGAAAGCAGTTAATAAACAGTTTTTCTCAAACGTAACAGTTTGATTACCATTTTATTTATGGTTATTTGACTGTTTTGATTAAATATGGTAAAATAACCATTCAATAAATTGTTATTTATCCATTTTTTCCGAGAAATTTCTAACAGTGCAGTAACTTATTTTTTGTGCGAAAATATGAGTTGGTTGAATAGTAATCAAATTTTACTTACAGCTAATAAGGCAACAATTGTTGTAAGAGTTGGAAACAACCGACCTGATTTGGGTGTTAACCCTGTTTGTCATAAATATACTGGCTTTCTGGGTAAGATAATAAATTGTGTATTACTCTTAAAATTCAATATTGACTTTTTCTAATTATTTTATTCTATTGACAGAAGAAGGACGTCCTCTATTTCTACCTTGCACAACAGCAATGCCTGGAGCATTTGTGAGTGTATATTTAGAAGATCCTCCATCGAATCAATTATCGATTTGTGAAGCTTTTGTCTACACGGATCAAGGTAACTCGCCTTTTAAAATAGTCTATATAAGCATAAATAATGTCAGAGATCGTTTCAGCACTATGCATAACGTCTCAAGTGACATTGAAGTCACCGAAATTATTTCACAAACGAGATTGTTCATCCTCTAAACTTAAAATAGTGAAGAATATTTAGAAAATATTCACTGAAAATTGGATTTTAAATTACATGATTTCTTAAATAAAACCAATGCTTTAACTCCCTTCAGTAGTCGTGACTTGAAGATTATGCTTGTTCAGATGGCTTCTTTTAGCTAACTTCTAATTATATTTCTATTGGTTTTGTTGTATTTTTGTGTTGTTTTTTTTTTCATTTTGTATCTCGACTTTCAGTGATTGATATTGGTGTTTCTCATAGTAGTAGCGAAACGATCTACATTATTTGTTCTTTTTTGCATTATGATTTGCTTTATTTAAATAATGTAAAGTTTTAAAAGCAAGAAATCGATATTGCTGTTTTAGCCCTTCCAATCGAGCGATGCCCTTCGTTTCGAGATCAACCACTTGGCAGTACTTCAACTTATAATGGCAAATGCTACCTTTTCTACAACAACCAACCTCGAAACTTTTTATCGGCAAGACGTTTCTGCGAAATTCGAGGAGGAAATTTAATTGATGAGAGCAGTCCTGCATTACAAGGTTTCTTAAGTTGGGAATTATTCAGGAGACATCGTAATGATCCTAATGGTCAATATTGGTTAGGTGCAGTCAGAGATCCTTCCAACAACAACTGGAAATGGACCAATGGTAAGTCCTAATAAATCACACTTTTAATATTTAATATTACTTTATTTACAGTCGCAATATATATATATATATATAANTATATATATATATATACTGTGTAAGAAATTATTTGCAGTTAGGTCGATTATCTCTAGAACTACTGGATCGATTTTAATGAAATTTGTTACGTACTTACATTGATACAATACAAAACAAATAATTCTTCAACAATTGTAATACACCTCATGATCGTGCGTAACACTCGTTGTAGTCGGATGTTATGAAATTTCCACAGGACAATTCAGACCAATTGCCACAGGAAATGATAAACTGCCTTATTTCAAGTATGAAATCACGCTACAAGGCATGTAAGAGGGGACCATACACCCTATTAACCCATTTTTTTGTAGTTTATTCCGTAACCGCTGTCATTTCATACCTTCCGACTCCAACGAGTGTTACGCACGATCATGCAAGTGTGTATTACAACTGTTGAATGATTATTTGTTTTGTATTGTATCAATGTATGCACATATCAAATTTCATTAAAATTGGTCCAGTAGCTCTAGAGATACTTGACCAAGTCTGTAAATTATCTTAATTTCTGACACCAGTGTAGATAGATAGATGTGATTCAGCATGCGGTTGAATATTGAATATAAACTCTTTAGCCAAGGTAAGTAACTATTTTCATCTTATGTTGATTGAGGTGAGCGAAACATTTTCCAGAAAAAGGTTTGATCTTTGTTTTACTATTTTTTTTTTGATGAAGGAAACTTAATTAACAGGTAAGATATAATTTGCGTAAATTTTGGTGCAAATGTTCCGCTTTTAGGGGCTATTGAAAGCAGGAGCTCAATTTTTAATTCAACTGTTTCGTGCAAAAAGAAAAAAAAATACACCCAACAAAATTTACCGTTGCTGAATAAAAAGCTTACGTAAACGAAAACTACTCAATATAATGTCCTCTTTATTGTTTTGGTATCAAACAAAATAGTGTTTTTATGGAGTTGCTTGATTCTTATTAAACTAAAAGATATTAAAACTAACCAAATAATGGAAACTAATTACAGTCCCTGGCCATATTAAACGCACTCTAAGATTCTATGTAAAATTATAATTATCATGTGATACTATACCGCTGTATTGTTTTTACTCAGATGAAACCGGTTTGAATTTGCTTAAGCTCCTGTATCCATTTGATACCATTATAATGCAATACGTTAAAAATAAATACAAATAGGAAGTATATAAAAAATCTCCCGAATAAAAACCCATTACATGTATGTTTAAATATAAAAGTATTGCGTATAAACTCGTGCAAATCATATAACTATTAAAAAACTACAGCGCGTCTAATAATTTGATCTAATTATTATAATATACTAATATAATACTTGATGTAATAAATTTTCTATATTTATATAATATATCGTCTAATTTAGCCATTTTAGTCATCTGGATTGAGTTCAATATGACGAGGATTTGAACAGTATCAGTCGTAAACCCAAAATTGGGTCAGCTGTTCAACAACGGTTATAAAATGAAATATAATGATATTCGTAGAATTCAGTCAAACTTCATATTAACGAGTTTTTGGAAGACGAAAAACTATTAAGATTGATTTGTGACCGTCAAAGTTGTTGAAAAAAAGGCATTGAATCTGCGTAATAGCGTTGTACTTACCCAGCGGAGATTCCTAAGTAAATTAAGAAGCTAAAACTTGCAATGTTCCTCGTAGAACCAACGAAAATAGATTCATCCTATTTTCTAAAGTTTAGACAATATGATGTACATCCTCAAGGAACAAACTCATTTTACTAGATTGGGATATCTATTCCTGTTTGTAGGTTGTGTCTCTTGCAGTAAATATCATTGCAATAAAATGAGTAAAGTTATCTCTCGCGGATTTTCTTTTGCTGCCATATAACTTTAGAGAATATGATAAACATCCTCACGAAACAAACATTCATTTAACTAGATTGGGATATCTATTCCTTTGTGTGGGTTGCATCTCTTGCAGTAAATATCATTGCAACAAAATGAGTGAAGTTATCTCTTGCTTATTGACCATAACTTTAGAGAATATGATGAACGCATCCTCACGGAACAAATCTAAACATTCCTCGGACTAGATTTCTTAATTCCTTTGTGTGGGTTGTTTTGTATAATTCTGCCTGCTCTTTAAATTTTAGATCCTGTATTGATGAAATTATATTTTTTCTTCTACTAGGACACGATGTAACTATCTCTTTTTGGAACTCTCCCGGGAGTAAAGAAAATTGCTCAAGATTTGACGGTTCTAGGGGATGGCTTTGGTCTGAAACAAATTGTAATATGAATTTGAACTACATCTGCCAACACAGTGAGTCATTTACCGAAATACTTTTTATCAAAATTATCTTTGATGCATAATAATATTTAATTTAAATAAATTCCTTTGTTACACCTGTTTTAACAAGTCATTTTTGAAGTAGAAAAATCTGTACAAACGAAATGCATTTGGCATTCGCTAAGTTTTATGCTTTTTGGTTGTGGTGATATAAATTCGTTAGAAAAGCATTACTTGAAAGACATATTGAATCCTTGGCGAACAAAATTGAATCTTACAGCAAACACTGAGGTTTGTTGTTTAGTGTAAGATTTTGTTTAGATATCTCTTTCTTTGTCGAAGTTTGGTAAACGATAAATATAATAACTTAATAATAGCGAATAACATAAAAAGCAAACTTCATTTGTTGCTGAGACATGTACAAGCGATAATTACTTTCTCTGTTATTGTGAGTCTTCTAAGTTAAAAATATAATTTTAAAACACCCTGTATTTATATGTAGTGCAAAAGAATTTGGTCAAATATATTATTTTCAAAATATGCAAAATTTCCACTAAAATTATCCCACTAATATGCATCTTGATGTATCCGTTTATGATTTTCATCCTCCAAATATTTTTAAATAAAAACTGGAGGGTGATTATAATTTTAGTTACCCTGCTTAGAACAATATAGAATTCGTTCTAGTAAATAGATTATTTGGAAGAAATTTACTGTATACGATGCAAAGTAAAACACGGACCATCCTAGATAACTTTTGATCTAATGATCTGATTTTCACTTTCTAGGCCTCAATCTTAATGGCTCGAGGAAGTGACTTTAAGTATGCTTATTAGACGATTATGCTAAGTATGCTAGTTAGACGCAAGCTAATTAGTGCAGACTATATTTTAAGTTACGAAATCGGCCACAAAAACGGGCTTTCTCTGAATAAACATACCTTTTTTTTACGACGGATTCTGATTTCTAACCCCAAAAATATTGGGGGTATCCGCTATCTGGGAAATATGATCCCCATAGTTTGGCCAGGAGAGTGCTTCAAAGTTTTGACCCATTAATCTTAATTTTATTTTTTGCGAATGTCTCAATGTATCGAGAACATTTAAAAAGAATTGAAAAAATTTTGCACACAATTATAAAATTCGTTTATCCAAAGATAATGAATGCCATGCAAAAAAAAAAACTTTTAGTAAATATTTATTATTTTTTATTGCTTTTTTTAACAATAGTTCAGAAACTTTGAATCGTAAGGAATATAGTTTCTTGCATCATTTTGAAGAATATAATTTTGCATGGCAAAATACAAAATTTGTGTGAAATCGGTCTAATGGTTCCCAAGAAATCGAATTTTAAATATCTGACTTTTTTGAAATTCAATTTCTCAGGAACTTTTCAACCGCTTTTGTATTTTGCCACGCAAAATTATCTTCTTTAAAATGGTGCAAAACTTACATTTTTATTATAATCACCCAGTATTTGTGTTTTGCTCAATTATAAACTATATTACCAGTTACTACTGTATTAAGATGTGTGTTTTGATATTTTTCTCATAAGACAAACTTGTATAATCGTTTTTTTTAGAGCCAGCAACATGCGGTAAACCAGAACGCCCAGCTAATTCTACAATCATTGCCAGGAATTTCGATATAGGTTCTGTTATTGAATATCGTTGTGATGTTGGTCATCTTTTAATCGGTCCAAATATCAGAACGTGTTTGGCAACTGGTGTTTTCAGTGAATTCCCTCCAAAATGCCGTTGTAAGTAGCAAACTTTTATGCATAAGTAGCGCGCTACAAGAAGCGAAACTTCTGTTACTTTTTCCGTACTGTAATAAGCTACTTTTTAAAAGAATTAGTGTAATGAGTAGTGCGATACAAAAAACAGTAGTTTGTAGCGATTCATGTCAACATTGAACGCTTACCATGCAGATGTTTAAAATCGACTGTCTTGTGCTGATAGTTTATTGATGGGTAAATAGCACGAAACATTTGTAAGCCATGATAGTCTGTCCAAGAGGTCATGATTTCTATCCCCACTGGGCGAAGACGTGTAGTGAATGGTCTGATATTGGCAAGTAGCATTAGAAACAATAACAACAAAAACGTTTTTAATAGTTTTGTAAAATATGGTAGTTAAATTGTGCCAATTTTTAACATTAGCTGTTTTAAAAGCACGTGGAGAAAAACTTTCGGGTAATTAAAACAAAATTTACTGTAATTAATGATTTAGTGCCATTCGCTATGATATTGATTTATCGGAAATGATTTTTATCAAGCAAATTAGTAATATGATCACATTTCATTTGTAATTTCACCAACAATAATTAATGTACTTTTAAGAGCCGCAAAACGCGATAACCTCCCTTTTTTTTTAGTGCATTTTGGAATATTTTTTTGAAGAAGAAAGAGAGCCTTCATTTATTAAAAATTGCGGCTGAAAAAATATTAATAACAAATAGTCAGCAGCAATTAAGTGCATTTAGAAATGGAAAAGTGTACATATTTAGAAATGAATGTTCCTCTTAAGTTACAGATCCCCACATAATGTCTTATACACTATTAAAAATTCCGGGCACGTTGCACCAAAAATTAGTATTCATTTGCTGGCTACATAAAATAGAGCTCAGTTTTACCATATTTTGGTATTTTCACTAGCTCCAAATATCAGTAAACGGTTGCACCAAAAGTAGGTGTTTTGAAGAAACAAAATACCCATTTACATTCTTTCTCTTTCTTCTTTAATAAAAGCACAATTATTAGATATTTTTACAGCACTCAAAAGCAGGCCAAGGTAGCTATTTACCGTAACAAATCTATTCACCGTAAAAAGTTATTTTATGACATACCTCAAACCATTTTATACCACCTATCAAATTTAAAAAAGTAGTGAAATGAACTTTAATTAATGCAAATAAGCCATTTACCTACCTAAATGAGTTGATACTTGAAACGACATGAATTAATCACCCCGATACACCGAGACTGAGTAGTAAAGAAACATGGTGTCGTAAACAAATATCGTTTAGTTTGCAGTCACCGTCAAAGTTTTAAGTCTTTTACCAAATTTTGGTGCAGTCAGTTGCACTATGGAAGTATTTCTCGATCATACTTCTCAACTTATGGTGTAACTGAAATAAAATAATCTTTCATTACTAAACTTTCGAATAATGAGAAACTTTGCACCAAATACTGGTTAAGGATTTACCGAGTTTTTCTTTTTCAGTGTACAGAATAATTAAAAAATGATTTATCTTCGGATCATCTGTTTATGATTAATTATTGTCGTCGATGGATGTCTTTTTTTAGATAGAAAAATTCCCAAACTTATGGTAAAAAAAATGTGCCTCTTGTTGAGTAGAGATTATTTGCAATTTTCTCCGATATTGTCAATAAATCTTTAGTTTTTTTTAATAAATCTTTTGTTTTGTCAATAAATCTTTTTGTTTTTTAAGAGTAAAAGAATGTATGTCATAATTTTGAATTGTACACTATATACGCCTAGGTACTATTTGTTGCATTTATATCAGTTTTCGAAATCTATCATATGTAACTCTGCTTTCACGTTATTTTCTTTGCTTTGTTTTAATTCTCTGAACAATACATTTTCATAGATTTTAAACTTTGTTATAAAAGCATAACACAAAATTAGCGAAAAACATCCTACTTGTGACATAATTCATTATAAAATGTTCCAGATTTGAAATGTGGATCACCTGCCCAAATAGATAATGGCTATTACCAGTTACTGAACGGCACTCAGCATTATCTATCAACAGTACAATACACGTGTAACGAAGGTCATGTTCTAGTTGGTCGAGGAAGTCTGGTGTGCGATGTTGACGAAAAATGGAATGGACCTCCACCTAGATGTGATCGTAAGTGAAATATCTATAGAATAGTTAAAATTATATATAATCTATATCAGAGGTTCCCTTTTTTTTCAGAAACGAAACCTTGAATAATCAACCGTCTTACGGCGGAATCTCGACTTTATAAGTAAAATTTGTTGAGGTAATTGTGAACATTAAAGCCCATAAAAGACAATTTTTAAATATTTAATTAGAGGTATTAAGATTTATACTTGTTTTGTTATTAAAAATTTTAAACTACGTTGATATAGTATGTTCTACGTTAACCTTTTGCTTACTGCTTCTACAACCTGTGGACCACATGTGATGGTACATTATAGTATACCGTAAGCAAAGGGTTAAATTATCAGTCTAATCTAGTTATGAATTTGTTTTTGTTTCCGTGAATGACCGAAATCAAGAGAATGTCCACCGGTCCTTTGGTGAATGTCCGAAATATTTGTTATATCCGATTTGATATTATAATATTTATTCGATATTTTAATACTTGCTGAGGATAGATTAAGAGAAACATCAGTGTTCGGACTACCGATTCAATGCATACCGGGTAGTGGCACTTGACCTTAAAAAACATTGATGTAGGGCGTACCAGCAAATGTGTACCGGGCAGCTGCACTGAACCTTCAAAAGCCATCGGTGTAGGGCAGTGTTTCTCAACGGGGGCGATAACGCCCCCCTGGGGGCGTTGGGAGCATGCTGAGGGGCGGTGGACTTGTTTTGGGCGGCAGGGGGGCGTTAGNCTCTATAGTATATATTTCGGAGATTTACCAAAGTGACTATGTGATAATAAAATAAAATAGAAAAACTTTTAATGGGAAAACTTAAAGGTCTTCGTCAGGACGCATCCTTTACGATAAATTCGATATTTCTAAATAAAGAATCAAGATAAAAATTACTCTTTATAATGTGTCTATATCGCTAATATATGGGTGATTCTTTTTAAACATGACAATTCGGACCAAAAAAATTCTTCAAATTTAAAGTCTTCAAAATAATTAAAAAATTTTTTTGTATACTTCTTTAGTTACACTTATTAATATCTTACAGACAGCAGTGTAGTTTATTGACATTTGTTCGAGGGAAAAAAAATAGAAATTCACCAAATCATGAATGCCTGGAAAATGACATATTAGCTTAGAAGTTTAAAAAACAGTCATTTTAAGTTAGTGAGTAACTTAATTTAAGCCCTTATGTTAAATGGACCATAAATTGCTTAAATTAATTCTTTTTATCCACTGTAGAGAGAATCAAAAAAAATTTTGTTGCTGATATGTACAGAATAAAATTTTGTATAATAATCAATCTTTAAATAAATAAATAACTTTGATTACATCCAAGCATATTACAATCATACATAAACTTGATATTAGGTTAATATTTGCCTTCTCTCCTTACATTATTAGCAGTTTAAAAAAAATTCTGCTAACACTTCAATGTCCTGGCATTCATAAGCCAGGAAAATGACAGCCAGGATAATGACAAATTCGCCATTTTATAGCATATAACTTTACTTTAATTTAATATTTTGGCCTAAGACGTTTATATTCTTCAGAAAACAACAGGATTTCTTAAAATAACTCAGATAAGTCTATGTAGTTTATGTT